TTGTTTATTTCTGGGTTCTTTATCAAAAATCATATATCCATAGTGTGTGGATTTATGTCTAGGTCTTCAATTCAGTTCTATTGATCAACCTGTTTTTATGCCAACACCATGTTTTTTTTTTTTTTAAATTAGTATAGCTCTGTAGTAGAACTTGAAATCAAGGATGGTGATACCTCTGGAGGTTCTATTATCATTCAGGATTGTTTTAGCTATCCTGAGTTTTTTTTTCTTCAATAGGAAATTGAGTATTGCCCTTTCAAGATCTGTAGAGAATTGAGTTGTAATTTTGATGGGGACTGCAATGAGCCTGTAGATTGCTTTTGATAGGATGTCCATTTTTACTATATTAACCCTACTGATCCATCAGCATGGAAGATCTTTCCATATTCTGATGTCTTCTATTTATTTCTTCAATATATTAAAGTTCTTATCACACAAGACTTTCAGTTGCTTGGTCAGAGTTACCCCAAGGTATTTTATATTATTTGTGGCTATTGTGAAGGGTATTGTTTCTATTATTTCTTCCTCAGCCCATTTATTGTTTGTGTGTAGGAGTGCTACTCATTCCTTTTTTAAAAGTTAATCTTGTATCCAGTCACTTTGATGAAGGTGTTTATCAGTTGTAGGAGTAACTCAGGCTACCACACTCTACCCTGTCCTTGGTGCCCACCTCCCGAGGCTCAGCATGCATGGCTGTTGAGCTTGTAGGCTGTAGGCCTCCCAGCAGGGTAAGCAAAGATTGCAGTCACAGAGGTTTCACGCTGGGAGCTGCTCAGTGAGCCTAGAGTGGGCCCTATTCAGTAATGCTATGTTCTTGGTCCACCATGTCTGTGCTCTCCCATATGGCTCCCATACCCTTCACTGCTGTCTACATCTTTCCTTCCAGTTTTGCGAGTCTACTTTTTAAAAGCATCTTCTTTTCAGACCTACCTTTTCATAGTTGTTCTGGAGGTACTGTGGGCTCTTCAGATTCCTTCTCACAGCAGGGCAGTGCTCTGGCTCCTCCATAGCAGCTCACGACTGAATGGTGAGGGCTGGAGAGGGCATTGGTTTGGTGGTCTCATCTCATCTGTGCACCGTGTTCTACATGGCCACTACAGGTCATAGGCTGTGGCCCGATGTGGATTCTCTTCAATAGCTTTAAGAGCAGCAGTGGTGTCTCCAGGGTAAAGGGGGAGTGCTAGTGGCCCAAGTTTCCCGGCATCACTAGGTAATGACATATTCCCTTGTCTGCTGCAGCTACGCTCCCATACCTGTCAAGGCCACTGCACCTCTCGTTCTCCTTCTCTCCTCTACAAGCGCTGCTCTATTCTGCCTGCCTAAGTTTTTCATTTCTATTTTTCTATCTTGACTTTCAGAAAGTAAAAGCATAGTCTGGCCTAAAAAGTAAATTATCTTTTCATGCTGCTAAAGTCACATAGACTTCGTGAGCAAAACAACAGCGATTATTTTTGTCCTCAGTACTGAAGGATAGAAATGCAGAGGCAGCTTGCATTCCCACCAGCAATGCAGCAGTGTTCCCTTTCCCCCACAACCTCTCCAGCATAAGCTGGCATCAGTGTTTTTGATCTTGGCCATTCTTACGGATGTAAGATGGAATCTCAGAGTTGTTTTGATTTGCATTTATCTGATGACTAAGGATGTTGAGCATTTCCTTAGGTGTCTTTCAGCCATTTGAGATTCCTCTGTTGAGAGTTCTCTGTTTAGGTCTGTACTCCATTTTTTATTGGATTATTTTTTCTTTTGATGACTAATTTTTTGAGTTCTTTTTATATCTTGGAGATCAGACCTCTGTCTGATATGGGATTAGTGAAGATCTTTTCCCATTCTGTAGGCTGTCGTTTTGTCTTGTTGACTGTGACCTTTGCTTTACAGAAACTTTTCAGTTTCAGGAGGTCCCATTAATTAGTCGTTTCTCTCAGTGTCTGTGTGGTGGTTTCTCAGAAACTAGGAAACAACCTTCCTCAAGACCCAGTAATACCACTTTTGTGTATATATCCAAAGGATACTCAATCGTGTCACAAGGACATGTGCACAACTATGTTCATAGCAGCATTGTTTGTCATAGCCAGAACCTGGGAACAACCTAGATGTCCTTCGACTGAAGAATGGATAAGAAAAATGTGGTACATTTACACAATGGAGTACTACACAGCAGAAAAAAATAACATCTTGAATTTTGCAGGCAAATGGATGGAGCTAGAAAACATCATTTTGAGTGAGGTGACCCAGACACAGGAAAACAATTATCACATGTACTCACTCATAAGATTTTTTAAATTTTTTTAATTTATTATGTATACAATATTCTGTCTGTGTGTATGCCTGTAGACCAGAAGAGGGCACCATATCCCATTACAGATGATTGTGAGCCACCATGTGGTTGCTGGGAATTGAACTCAGGTCCTTTGAAAGAGCAGGCAATGCTCTTAACCTCTGAGCCATCTCTCCAGCCCCATAAGATGGTTTTTTAAACATAAAGCAAAGAAAACCAGCCTACAAACCACAATCCCAGACAACAATGATGATCCTAAGAGAGATATACATTGATCTAATCTACATGGGAAGTAGAAAAAGACAAGATGTCCTGAGTAAATTGGGAGCATGGGGAACTTGGGAGAGGGTTGAAGGGGAGGAGAGAGGCAGGGAGGGGAGCAGAGCAGAGAAAAATGTAGAGCTCAATAAAAATCAATAAAAAAAGAAATACAGGGTCAGGATGTCAGTTGATTGGCTTATTCTAAAGCTGCCCCAGAGACTCTGTTCTTGGCTCCTTCCTGGAGTCTGTTTGGGAAGCTTTGGTACTTTTGGCTTGTAGATGTGTTACTTTGGTCTCTGCCTTCATTTTCACATACTTTCCCTTCATGTACATGTTTGCCTCTGTGTCCCTATTTCCTTATTTATAAACATCTAAGTGTTATTAGAATAGAAGCCACTCTTAAGACTTCATTGGAATTTGATCATTTGCAAAGACTCTATTTCCAGTTAAGGGCACGTTCACAGGAACTAGAGGTTACGGCAGCATCATCTTTTGAGAGGATAAAATTCAATCCATTAACAGTATGTAATATTTATGAGATGGTACCCTTGAAAATTCATTGGTAGTGGCTTTATATGTAAGCTTGAAGTTTGTCGAAACATTGATATAATTATATGAGTGTGTGCCAATTGATGAATCACATATGAATATTTGTTCTGGAGACAGGACTTGAATGTTCTTAGAAAAACTCTATGCACACATAATTTAAAAGAAGATTTTCCCACTTTGACTGACAATTTCCTCAGGAGCCATAGACTAACAAAAATCCATCACCAGGTATGAGAATCTCTTTTTTGAATGGTTGGCCACTGTTTTCAAAGAGACTCCCAAAACATTATAAGTCATTATATTGCCTTTGTGTATCCCCAAAGGCAGAAAGTAAGTTCCTATTGTTGAACACATCAAACATATCAGACACAGAACCAGAGGAGCCAAGCTGCCTGCAACCTGAAAGTCCCTTCCCTGAAGACTAGCTTGCATGGTATCTGAAAGTGCCACACATTTCCAAAGGAGGAGAGCAAAGAACAGTCCTGTCTGCACTCAGCTATGACACTTATAAACTGTAACATTGTCTAGAGTTGCATGCTAATGCTAAGTATATTTCTTGTTGTTAGCCAAAGGTAACCAAAGGTCTCTAATTGGACTGAAGGCCCACTCAACAAGAGGGAAACCTAGGCAACTACTCAGGGCTAGGGAAATCATGTGTCTTGAAGGAGAACCTACAACTGCCACTTTTCTAAACTAGTACAGTCCCTAACTACATTCTAAATGTTTCTCCTTATACCCATAGTAAGTGTAGTTCTTGCCCCACATCAAGGAAACTTCTCTTTGCAACATATGAAGACCATTACAGAAAATCACAAACAAACAAAATACAGAGTTGTGGAGCTTAGACTCAATTCATACATCCACAATGAAATCATTACATTTAGTATTTGTATCATGTCTTTAACCAGAAAAAGCGTGACACATACCTCAAAGATAGATGTTATTAATATTTCTGAATCATCATATAATACTTGTCAAGTTCTTGACACATTTTTCATTGAAGATTATATTACACACAATTTTCTAAAATAAGTTATATTCCATAGTACTCTATATATCCGAACTTAATATCCATTGGGTCATTAACCTGATGGTCATTGGTGGTGGGTTGTGTCACTGTATTTTCAAGCATCAAGTTAGCCTTGTCTTGTGGGACTGAGTTCTTTGCCATCTGTCTTGTCCCTCTTACTTTCAGGCCTCTGCCCAACATTTTCAGTGATCACATTGTTCTCCTGGCTTAACTGCTCTATGAGGACAGAGGTCTAGCTTTTTGGTCTGTTGCGCACTTCCACAATCCTTCTCATGTCTTTCTCATCCCATCTTCTACTCTCCCAAAGGTACGTGACATCTTCAGGTACTGCGTAGTCTTCTTCACTGCCACACCTTTCGCTTCTTCCTCCACCAAGAAGGCCTTTTGGCACTCTTGATTCCAGCTCGCACTTTCTTAGTATTTGTCTCAAGTGATTATTTTCCCTCTGAAGATTTGTAGGCCAGATTTTCTTTCTTTTAGTATCTATAGTATTATGTATAAAACTTGTCTTGGAACTGATTATATGATGATATAGTATCCTGTTTTCATATTTTTTGTTCTTACTGGACTTTAAAAAATAACATGTTTAATTTGTTCTTTGAGAATTTAATGCAAACATGAATATGATATATTTTGATCTTATAGACTCTTTTGTTTAGTGTTCTTCCAGATATTGTAGAAATTGGAAACCAAATGAAGAACTGCATTCAGAGTTTGTAGCCTAGTAGGGGACTCTCAGTTTCTATTACCTGGAGGATGGTGGAGAAGGACATTAAGAAGACTTCATTGATAAAGAGAAGATAACTGGAAATCTTTTAAATATGCAGCTGTTACTGTGCATATTTTTACAGTGCTTTAATGCTAACAGAGTTGATTTGTTTACAGGTGGCTATGGATTTGCATCGCGGGTTGCAGCAGATGGGTGCAGACAAGAGGAACCTCAGACTTGATCTATGGTCATTGTTATCTTCTAGTATGACACTCTACTTTCCCACTGAACTCTTCCTGCGCAAGCTGAGAAGCTTGGCTATAATTTGGTCTTTTATTTTTGTAAGTAGCTATACATAGCTGAGAAATTTTTTCAACCTACATTTTTTATTAATTTTTAAATTATATATTTTAAAGCTATGGGTTCTCCTAAGATTCACAGGTGTCATTCTTTTGATCAAAGGCACGTCTTTTTTAATGTTCTCCTACATGGTTACATTAGTAAAATACATACAATATATTTGTCTACTACAAATATCAACTATTTCAAACTCTTAAGAACATATAAATTCAGTTCCTGTAAGAGTATATTTGATTTCACTTGTGCTAATGACAGACTTGGGATTTGTTCATCTGATTTTTTCAAAGTTTTTTTTTTGAGACAAATCTTTTAGTAATATCTGTACTGCTACTGTTCTGAAGTTGTCCAGCAAACCCCCTTGTTCACAGAATTCTCAACAGTGCTATGATTTTAGCATCAGGATTTCGAGTTGTATTTGTTAAGTGCTTCTTAAGGATTTTTAAAAACAGTTTTCACTCAAATATATTATCCTTTTATATATAGAGGCATAACATTAATTTTACTTGCAATGTTTTTCAATAATGTCTAATTCTCTCCCCAACCCCCATGAAGCAGAGTCAACTAGAAACTGGTAATATTCAATTTCAAGAATTGATAGGAGCACTTTATAACACAACTTCTGTATTAAGCAGAATAAATACAGTAGAAAAATTAAAGTATTTTTTCTTCATAAAAAGTTGTGATATTTTTCAGAATTCTGGGAAATGTCTAAGTAATTTTGGCTACAGTCATATTGCATTTAATGCTATTGAGAATATTGCTAACATTAACAAAAATTTTCTGTAATTTTCCCAGTTATTGCTACTGGTGATGAGGGATGTGAAGTTGGCATACATCCATGTTTTGAGCAAGATTCTACGTGTCAGAGACAATCTTTCTTTTTAAGACAGCTGATAACATTTTCAGATGGGGATAGTGGTCAGGGTTGATTATTCCATATCTGTATCAATGATATCTTAGAGTATAACAAATGTTTCAGAATAAACACAACTGTAAATTTTTATTTCTTAGACAAATTTTAAACATTTCTGTTATTTTTTAGTTTATTAGACTATAATAGTTTGGAATCAAAGGTGACTTTTATTCTATAGTAATTATTTTGTCTTTTTTTTCTGTGACATTGGCAATGCTCATCTTACAGATAATAGGCTGTTGTTGAGAAAGGAGCTTTGACAATAGAAGTAACCAACTAGCAGGTCCATTTCTACTGTGGAAAGCAGCTGGAAACTCATCCCTATGGATGGTGAGTCACAGCCTCATTCATCCATCAGAAATGCTATGAACATTATGCTGCTCGATGCACTGTTGGGATGTTGATGTATGAGCTTCGTCAGTTGAGTGTAAGCAATCAAAGTAAGACTGAAAAAGAAAGAAGTGGGGCCCAGGCAGGTGCCCAGTGGGTAAACTGAGACTATTTGTGGCACAGATCTGAGATGTCACAGGAAGCCAGATGTGGTGATATGTCTAGAAACACAGTACTGGTATTGGATGGGGACTAACTGGTCAGTGACTAGTCAAAATGGGGAACCTCAGGTTCACTAAGAGAACCAATCTCCTAGTAAGGTAAAATGTTGGAACGGTGACAAAGTGGTTAAGAGCACTGACAGATTTCCCAGAAGACACTGGTTCCACTTAGAGCAGCCACATAGCAGTCAACAACTGCCTGTAACTCCAATCCCAGGGCATCTAATGCCTTCTTCTGTCTTCTATGGACATTGCACATACATTGTGCACAGACATATTCAGGCAAATACTCAGACACATAATGGATAAATAAAATCACAAATTTGAAGAGGAATTAGATGGAGAGTGACTGAGGACTGCTTATCAACCTTTGCAAAATGGGTTTTACACACACACACACACACACACACACACACACGTATATACATCTGTATTATTTTTTTTTGTTGTTTGTTTTTCTTTTTGTTCTGAGACAGGGTTTCTCTGTAGCCCTAGCTGTCCTGGAACTCACACTCCAGACTAGGCTGGCCTTGAACTCATAAAGATTCACCTGCCTCTGCCTCCTTTGTGCTGGGATTTAAGGCATGAGCCACACCAACTGGTCTAAATCCATACTCTTAAATATATAAGTACAACCTGTTCAGTCTCCATAATGCTATTTGTATGTCTGTTTTCTGGGCTGCCCGTTTGGTGTTGGATGACCAGTAGGAGTGCTCTCACATTTTCTGCATTCCTTAGTTACTTATAGTTCTTTGTCTATGCTGAGGCCTGTGGTCTTCCCCTGTCTAGTAGAATTACTAGCTGTTCTCATTAGGCTCATGTTTAGGTAATCATGTTAGTGATATTTTATGTGTGTAGCTTCTTATATCAGTAGGAGATACAATCTCACAGCAAACTCTTTGATTGTAACTTTTCCAATCTTTGGGCTTCCTCTTCCACGTGGCTCCCTGAGTCTTAGGTAGGGGAGTTTTTCTATAGTTGCATCCATGAAGCTTTGCATTTGATTGGTTATGGTTTTCTGTAGCAGTCTCCATCTATTGAAAAGAGAAGTTTCATTTATGAGTGGTGATGACTACTTATCTGTGGATATAATTATAAACATTTAGAATGTGGTGAGGGAGTATGCTGGTTTAGGAAAGTGGCAGTTATGACTTCACTAGGTATGGGGAGTTGGCTAGGTTCCCAGTACTAGGCATGGCTTACATCTTGTTGAGTGGGTCTAAAGTCCACTTAGAGAGCTGTTGGTCACAAACAAGGTAGGGTATTCTATCATGCTGATTATTTTTGTGGTTCATAGGCATCATGACTAGCTACGGATAGGACTATTGAGTTCAAGTCAGTTTCTGGCTGGAATTCTTTAAGCAGACCCTTCATGGTATCTCCTTTGTATATTTAAGAGTACTCTTCAAGTAGTAGAACAAGTAGTTAATTCTCAAGTTTTCTCGAGGCTGAGATTAGGATTATGGGAAATACATTTAAATATAAGACAGGTCCCAGCCTCATCTGAATGTGCCAGACATTGTTGACTCCCCATGAGTGGCCTTACCCTTTCTGAGATGTGGTTAATGGGGTTGGGAGGAGGGGGACAAGAGTAGGGGAGAACTGTGGTTGGTATGTAAAATTAATAAAAAAATAAAAATTATAACAGGTCATCTAAATGGTAGCCAATTAGATGGTAACCTAGCAGATATATCATGAAATATGAAATGTCTTAGTTTGGGTTACTAGTGCTATGATGAAACACCATGACCAAAAGGAGTTGGGGAAGAAATGTTTTCTTTGACTTACACTTCCACATTGTGGATTCCAATAGTCTATCCTTGAAGAAACTTAGGACAGAAACTCAAACAGGGTGGGAACCTGGAGGCAGGAGCTGATGCTGAGGCCATGGAGGGATGCTGCTTACTGCCTTCCTCCCCATGGCTTTCTCAGATTGTTTTCTTATAGAACCCAGGGCCACTACCAGCCCATGGATGGTCACACCCACAGTGGGCTGAGACCCCCACATCAATCACTAATTAAGAAAATGCTCTACATGCTTGCCTACAGCCCATCTTACAGAGGCATTTTCTCAATTGGGATTCCCTCTTGTCATATGACTCTAGCCTCTGTCAAGTTGACATAAAATTAGCCAGCACAACTATTGTCAACAAAATGTACATACTTGTTTAGAAATTTTGGAAACTTGTGTTTCTGTAACGTTTATTTATTCATTTGTGGTTATGTGTATTGAATCCTGGGTCTTGCACATGCTAGGATAGTGCTCTGCCTCAAATATGGCCCTGGTTTATTTATTCATTTGTGGTTATGTGTATTGAATCCTAGGTCTTGCACATGCTAGGATAGTGCTCTGCCTCAAATATGGGCCCAGGTTTCTGTGATTTTCATACTAAAAGTTTTTTTGATAACTTTTCTTGTTTATAAAATATATGGATTCCTTTGGATATATACCCCAAAGTGGTATTACTGGGTCTTGAGGAAGGTTGTTTCCTAATTTTCTGAGAAATTGCCACACTGACATTCAAAGGAGTTGTACCAGCTTGCATTCCCACCAGCAAGGAAGAAGTGTTTCCTTTCCCAAATGATGCTCAATTGTGCCACAGGGACATGTGCTCAACTATATTCATAGCAGCTTTGTTTGTCATAGCCAGAACTTGGGAACAACCTAAATGCCCCTTGACCAAAGAATGGATAAGGAAAATGTGGTACATTTACACAATGGAGTACTACACAGCAGAAAAAAATAACGACATCTTGAATTTTGCAGGCAAATGGATGGAGCTAGAAAACATTATTTTGAGTGAGATAACCCACGCACAGAAAGACAATTATCATATGTACTCACTCATAGGTGATTTTTAAACATAAAGCAAAGAAAACCAGTTTACAATCCACAATTCCAATGAGGTCACTAAGAGAGACTTACAAAGATCTAATCTACATGGGAAATAGAAAAAAGACAAGATGTTCTAAATAAATGGGGAGCATGGGAACCTTGGGGGAAGGGTTGAGGGAGGGGAGGTAGGGAGGGGAACAGAGAAAAATGTAGAGCTCAATAAAAATCAATAAAAAAAGAAATAAAAAATTGGCAAAAATAAAATATATGAATTTCATTCCTTTTAGTCTTCATTCGGCTTTTCTGCTATAAGTCACTACAGATTGCTCCAGCCTCACTCTGACAACCCTTTGTTTCATCATTTCACATCACCGGTAGTCCTTGCATACTAGCTAATTCCAGGAAAACTAAGCAGCTCCCAGTCCTGCTACAATGACAATCTGTTTCTGCTCTTGCATTCATTCATATTTTTGTCTTGACCATTGCGGTATTTTTACTTGGCTTATCTTGTAAATAGCAACTTTTCATCCAGCAAGTTTTCTTGATGACTTTTGTCACTGAGATTTCCAGTTCACAAGTCTGTTGCAGAAATTGTAGTTTATTGTTCATAACTGTATGCCTTTTTTTTTCTGGATTAGATTTTTTTAAGGGTAAGCACAAAAGTCACATGTTATGGGTTTTTGCATTTTCATTTTTGGTGTGATCCATGACATAGGATGTTTAATGAACAGCTGTTGAATTAAAGTCTGGATGTTCTCTCTAGAAAAGAGAAGGGAGCACCAATTGCTGCGATGAAGTGTGTACCGCGGATTCCGAAGGGAGCTGTGAAGGTTCTTCTCAGAGTCGTCAGTGTGTAAAGACTGTGCTCCCAAGGTCTCGCTACAGTCATACTAGCATCTTGGATTCCGTGCACAGAACTTGGCAGTTTTGAACAACTATTTGTGATTGAAAAATGACCAGCAAATTTAAGGTCCCAAAGCTCAGTTTCGGTACCAAAAAAGCCGCTGTCTCGCCCGCTTGCCCCTCTCTTCCCGTGCTTCACACCTGGATGTTGGACCCCCATTACTGTTCTGTGAGTTTTTATTAAAATAAAGAAAAAACTTAGTATACCCTATTTGGAGCTAGTGTGGGATTATTTGATTCGCGTCCCCCCCCCCCCCATCTATCGTGTTCCACTTCAGTAGCTAATTTTCTTAATAGATATTAGGTTTTAAAGATTGTAGACCTTAACGCTATTGTTTTTCTGAATAAGGTCTCCAAATGCTTGGTTATTAATCAATTCAAGTTGGGAAAGGACATTTCTGTTTGAAAATTATAAAAGAGAAGTTGAAGGATGTCCCATTTGTTATCACACTGAAAGTTTCATTTGCTTTAAAGTTGCCATCCTGATAATATGCAGACTTGATTAAGTGACTATTATGTCTAGAATTACTAAAATGACACAGTTTTGCATGATTCAATAGTTTTACATTTTATAACCACCATTTTATCACATTATTCTATTACCAATATGTGAAGTTTTACATTGGCTTTGTATTTTGTCTCTATTATAATTGAACAAGTGTATATTAATTAATGGTTAAATATTCTTTTTAGCATCTGGTTATGTTATAATCCTGACTGAAGAAAGAATGTACAATAATGATGTTAAAAGGAAGCTTAATGCAATATATAAATTATATTACATTAAATGACATACTTTAGAGTATATAGAAGTAACTTAATGAGTTATACAAAACTGAAATGAACTTTTCTGAACTACATATTCACCAGTTAATTTAAAAATCAATGGGGAAATGGTTTAAAAATAAGGAAACTTGCTTAAGCAAAAATACTAAGACTTAATTTTGTAGGAAGATATTATATGCTTTGGGCATTCAACTTTTATATCCTTTAGCCTAGTTTATAGCTAAAAAACTTTTAAGTAAATATGTGTGTTCTAATTTTAGTTGTTAAGAAACAGTGTTGAAAAATGACAATGAAAGGTATAATGAAATACAGCACTAGGAGGAAAAATCAGAGGGTCTTACTGGGCCCAGAATTCATTCAATTTCCGGCAGTCTTTATGATTACTGATCACTCAACTGGCTAACTAGACATTCTTAGAAGGAATTATATCTCAGATTCATTTTACCTGATCAATTGTTGGTACATGCTGTAATTTTACTTTGTGATATATCAAATTTTCTAGTAGAATAAGATGTACAATCAACTCTTTATTTCAGAAAAAGTAAATTGACTTAAAAAAATGAAGCGCTGTTTCGAAAAATTTTAACAACAGTATAATTTCTGCTTTTGCATTTCAAAGTGAATTTATGATGATGAACTTATCTTTTCAGATAAAGAAATCATTAGGGTGATTTGTTAATATTCATACAATTTCTACAAAATGATATCAGTTCTATAGGCCATTTAGGCAGTTGCCTAAACCCAGGCTGTAAAAATAAGTTGTTTTCCTTTCCTTTCCTTTCCTTTCTTTCTTTCTTTCTTTCTTCCATTCTTTCTTTTTTTCTTTTTGAGACAGAGTTTCTTTTTGTATCTTTGGAGCCTGTCCTGGAACTTGCTTTGTAGAGCAGGCTGGCTTTGAACTCATAGAGATCCACCAGCCTCTGCCTCCTGAGTGCTGTGATTTAAGGCTTGGTCCACCACTACCTGGTTTTTGTTTTTCTTTCTTAATATCAAAGAAAATGCACAGGGAAGAACTCTGGCATTAAGAAATTCTTTTGCTAATGGAAGTGTAGTTTCCCGTAAATGTTGAATTTGTAAAGATATCATGATACTGCAAATTTAAAAAGAGGGAATATTTTAATGGTTAATAGGGAGGGTCTCTTTTTGAATAGGGCAAAAGATTCCCAGTGACATGAATCTTGGTTTTTACATTTGTAAAACTGAACCAATAAGGTCAATTGTACTTTCAAATATATCTGTTCTCTTTTGACTTTTAGTAATTCTTTGTACAGAAGGATGCTGGCAGAAAAGTTCTTTGCAACAATGTTCACATTGTATGTTTAACTCCACGCATCCAAACAACCCAAAGAGAAAGAGTGTATGAACTCTATCTATCTACTTATATGCCCTGTAAGACTCTAGTAGAGAAAAATGAATTATCTTTTGTGAGCAGTTGTCAGTTGGAGATGGCTTCTGAGTTAGGAATGGGAGCTAGTGTCTAGTTCCCCTTTTCTTGGACTTCCGCAGGTTCTGTGCATGCTGTCCAAGATTCTGGCAGTATGTATGTGCTTCAGATCTATTGTGTCTGGAAGGCATGCTTCCTTGACGTCCTCCATTCCCTCTGGCTCTTTTCCCCTCATCTTTGTCCTAGTTCCCTGAGCTCTGATTAAAGGGGTTTGATGAAGCCATTCCATTTAGGCTTGACTGTTCCAAGGTCTCTCAGCCTCAGCACACCGTCCATTTGTTGGACTCTATATAGGTTCTCATCTACTACAGGAGGAAGCTTCTCCATAGATGGCTGAGTGAGATGCTGTCCTAAGGGTAGAACAAAATATAACTAGGAATCATCTTATTGCTATGTCCGTTTAGCAGAATGATAGTATTTTTTTTAAAATCTAGATCAATGTCTATCTCAGGTTCTTGGCCACCTGAGCAGATGTGGGTACTATGTAATGGAGTGAACCTGAGTTCCTGATCAGAGAGTGGTTGGTTATTCCCACATTTGTGACACCATTGAAGGAGCATATCATATGGACAGGTCACCATTGCAAATCTAAGGATTTGTAACAGAGTTGGTGTTTATCTTTGTCTTCTGGTAGCATGCAGAGTACCTTCAGCACCATGAACACTAGTCAGCAGGAGTGACAACTTGAGGTAGGCACAGCTCATCTTCTTCCTGTTCACTGAGGTATGTAAATAAGCTAATTAAAATAGCTGTAATTAGATTTAATATGCCTTAACAGAACTGAGGCTCATATGAACTCACAGAGATGATGACAGAATGCACAAGACCTGCACAGTTCAAGTCAGAAAAAACCACACTGGAGAGAAGGGAAAGTGGGCTTAAAGTCCCACCCCAACCAAAAATTCTCTCTGCAATCCATACCTGTTGCAGAGGGAATATGTATTTTCTCCAGCAGAATGACACTGGGTACATCAATTACACTCTCGGGATGGCCCCGTGATCAGGAGAGACTCTTTTGTTTTCTCTCTCTCTCTCTCTCTCTCTCTCTCTCTCTCTCTCTCTCTGCTTTCCACTGTTGTGTTAGTTTCTGTTTCTGTTTTGTTTTCTGAAATATGGAAAGAACATAAAGTTGGATAGGTAGGAAGATGGAGTAGGATCTGGGAGGAGCTGGGAAAGGGGAAGAATGCTATCAAAATAAATTGTATGGAAAAGTGAATAAAAAAGAAAAAAATCTTTTTTGCTTACTTACTTACTTACTTACTTATTTACTATTATTTTACTTACTTATTTATTTATTTATTATGTATACAGTGTTCTGTCTGCATTTACATCTGCAGGTCAGAGGAGGGCACCAGATCTCACTACAGATGGTTTTTGAGCCCTCATGTGGTTGCTGGGAATTGAACTCAGACCCTCTGGAAGAGCAGCCAGTGCTCTTAACCACTGAGCCATCTCTCCAGCCCAAGAAAAAAAATCTTAATATGGTACAAATGTTTATAAAGTAAAAACAATTGTGTGTGTGTTTAAGCTTTTAAAAAGAACATTTAGAATGTTAGGTAATGCCAGCTGGCAAGATGGCCCAGTGGGTAAAGACACGTAAAGCCTTAAAATCTGAGTTAGATCCTAGGAGTTCATGGTGGAAGAAGAAAACTTATGCCTGAAACTTATGCCATGGCGCGTGTATCCCTGCACACAGACAACACATTCACACATAATACACACACAAACACACATACCCTACACACTCACACACATACACAAACACACATGCACATACACATTTATACACACTGCACACACATGCACAGACACATTTACACACACTGCACACACATGCACAGACACACACTTTATTCATTGAAAAAGAGATTCTTTTCATATGATATTTTCTGATTGCAGTCTCTCCACCCCAAATATTCCCAGATCTTACCCATCTCCTACTCACCCAAATTCTTTCTTATTAAAAAATAACAGATAACATATAAAAATAATAAACAAACAAATCATAATAGGACAAAACAAGCAAACCAACAGGAAAAATGAGCTAAAGAAAAAGCAAAAGAGACTCACATATCCATACATACGAAACCTATAAAACAGTATCCGAAGCCATAATATATAAGCAAGAGAACTATAAGGTTAAAATCATGCCCAGACAACTTTGGAGAAGAAAAAAAAACTCTAAAAATACAGTTGGTTTCACGTTGTGTTGATCGACTACTGCTGGGCATGGGCCTGCCTTTCAGTGTGTTTTGCGTACCCAGTGAGACTCCATTGGAGAAAACTGACTTTCTTTTGTGGTCAGTTGTCCATTGCAGACAGCTGGTTCAGGGATAGGACTGTGTCCACTTCTTCTCTCAGAGCTGACCTCATCTGCCTTAGACCTGTTCTGGGCCTGTGCATGCTGCCACAGTCTGTGAGTTCATGTGTGTGTCTAAGTCCTGTTTTGTTCAGAAGACCTTGTTTCCTTGGTGTTAACCATCCCCACTGACTCTTACCATCTCCCTGAGAACCCTGGGGAGAGTTGTAGCTGGGTTGGTGCTGCCCTTTCTCCTCTGGTGGTGTGTGGAGTACCATGGAAACTGTGCCCCAGATTGACTTCTCATGTTCAGTGAATTATGCAGCTTTGTCTTCAGCTACAGGGCCTTACATTAGTTTGTAGAGAGCAACCCAATAGCCTGAGTTGGTTAGGGTTTCCATGGGCCCCTTTGGCCAACAACTCAGTTAGATGTGACCCATTTCTGGCACTGGAGGTTTCAGCTGATGGTGAGAGATGTCTCTCTGGGACGGTGTCTCCCTGCTATTTGGTGATTCCATTTACATTTCCTTTACAGTTGTATATATTTTAAGAAGCTTCTGCTGTACTGTGTTTCATAGATCTCTCAATGGCCCTTAGTCTTATTCTCCCCACATTTTCTCTCTTCTCCACATCTTCTTTTCCCCTCTGTGATTCTCCTGTTCCACTCACCCTCG